GTTCAGCAGCCAAAATAACGTGGCATCTTTACTGCATCAGGATTTTGCCAATTTAACTGTATCAGGTGAAAAATTAAGCTTGGTATAACTGACAGAGTTACATTGGTAACTTTTTTAAGAACACACCAGCCCTTTTACTATCCTAATAACATTCTCAACATACAAAAAACGCCACATTAAGACACCTGACATCTTGTGATGTATAATTTTAAAATAAGCATCATAATCCACACCACAAAGCATCTTCACTGTATTTTAACTTCATTTCCTGCCAGTACTCATCACAGATACCTGACAGTATTTAAGTCGACCTGCACAACAGTGGATCAACATTCAGATACTCTTACAAAGTCTTTAATAAAAATCAAAGAGGAAATGTCTTTTCCTATCTTAGGCTGTGATATTTGAACCAAAAAAAATCAACTCAGAAAATATAACTACACAATCTCCTTGCTATTCAGCGCAAGAAAAGCCTGCAGAAGTGTGAAGGAGCATATTTCTCCAATAATGACTCCAATCTGAAGCTCAGATGGTCACTGTAGGAGGAAGTACACACGTTAGCCAGAAGGAAAGCATTACATACAATGAGGAAAAAAACATGATCAGCAGAGGACACCAGAAATATAAGACACAAGAAGGAAGAAGAAAGAAACTCTAAAGCAATTGCACACCATGATCAGCAGTTACCTGTTGCTGTGAATGAGAGTTTAACATTCTCTTCTATCCTGGCTGAAAAAATTTATAAAGTGATCCTATCACATCTAGGTGCTATTTTTCACCAATACTTTGTGACATTACAGAACAAAGACCTCAAGTTATAGACATCCCCTTAAAACTATAATGCTAAAGAGTATTTTCAAGAGCCCAAATGCCAGAGGACAGTGCTTGCAATAAAGTCTGGCAATGCCTCAAGGTACTCGATTCAGAAACCTGTGTAAAGTCATATGGTCTATGCTAAAATTCTCCACCACTGATTCTCCTTCCAAGTTTAGTGCTTTTCTTCATAGTGAAATGGTAACTATACTAATGTGCTCTGTTTATCCCTAAACCTATTGGAAATGTGCTTCTTATCTGATTTGCTTTCCAGGGTGGTGTATACCCTGGGACAGAGAAGTTTTGCTTCTCCCACACTGTTACGGACCCAACTCTGCTAGCAGGAAAGATGCTGGTATCCTAGATCTTATGGGATGCAATGCCTTGAGGAAATTTATATCAAACAATTATTGCATAATCTCAGGGTGTAATAAAACCTCCTACACCATACCCCGGCATCGAGCTCCTGTTATGCTTTTGCCTCAGAGGAAGAAGTGTCCCTGTCAACAGCAGCTACAGGTCCCGGTATGAACCCGTAGGATCCCCTTGCTGTGCATGTGGAGGAAGTTGAAGATTTCTGAGGGCATAGCATGAAAACCGGGGCGAGGTTTCACATTGTCATAGTAGTGGTGAGTTATAAAAATCCCTGAGGGGTTCATGGGGAAGGCCCAAAAGCCAAAAAGGTGGACCTCTTCGCAGAGCTCCAGGGCAGCAGTCACCAGGATCAGTCCGGTGCTAATCCTCTTGGCTCGCACCCCTTGGCCCAGCCAGTAGCGTGAGACGTTGATGAGATACTGGGGATGAAAGTAATAAACAGCTTGCTGAGATTCAAAATCGTCCAGGACATATTTGACCCGGATTGAGACGTCCGTGTTGCGAGTGTTGTAGAAAGCTGGCAGCAGCACGGAAGCGTTCTCGTAGACCTGGAGCACGTCGTAGAAGGGTTTCCTCCATTTTTCCAGCTTGTGAAATCTAAAGGGAAAAGGATGCGAGCGATGGTCAGACCAGCGCGAAGTCCATCTGGACCCAGCAGACAAGAAACCTCCAACGGGCTTTTACTGAAACATTTCCAATATAGATGTAATCGAAGGGAGACTATATCTAGATTTGTAGCTAAAGCGTCAGTATGAAATGTAGGGGGAAAATGCAGGGGATAAAAAAAACACATTTTCTCACCTCTTTTGGCAATACATTGATTAAAAAGTGGACAAACTTTGTTAACGTTTCTGATCATGTCTCACTTCTCATTTTGTTAGGAGAAGTATGTAATTTTTCCAAGGTTTGGTTAGCGGTATAGTGCACTATGCAGTGCAGAACGGCATAAAAAGTGTCAAATACAAAAGTGGAGCAAAAACATTTCTAAAATGACTACCTGTAACATACAAAAGAAATCCACAAAGCAAGCAAATGATTTAAGTTGTTTCAGAAAAGAAACATATTCCCCCAGCAAGAAAGGAAAGCAGGAATTAGCCCCATGGTCCCAAACCTGTCAGCAAGGTGGCATTAAGGTATTGACAAATTTAAAATAAAAACCCCTCAGAAAATCCTGGCTACAAAGTTTAACTAGCTTTAAAAAAAAATAAAAATAAATGACAATGTGTGTTACTTTATTTAAGGATTTAGGGTAGGAATCAGTTGCTTCCACCCTAGTGCATCCAATACATTTGCCTGGGGCTTGCCTGCATGGTACAGGACTTCCAGGGGAAGGATGGCTCTGCTGTTATGATTTAGCTCATCACTTTCCCTCTTTCTGCTATCAATGTGCAGTTCTCAGTGTTTAGCACATTTCTATAAGTTGTTACAGATTTCATATACTGAATAACTTCAAATCAGAATGAAACGTATGATTCATAGTGTCAGTTTCAAGTAATATTGGGGAAAATAATTCTCAGTAGCAATTAGAGTTTAGTGAAAAGTAGGTTTGGCAAAGCAATAGGAGATGAAAATACAAAAACCAGAAATGACCTCTCTGTAATTATACTGGGATTGACAGTGACGACATCCGTCTTTACCCCAACGTCCGTGAAGTATTTCTCAGATATAGGAGGCAAATTGCATCTATAAAGGAAAGAAATGAGTAAGAGAGTTAAACAGTTTCTTGCACCTTTTCAGGAATAAAAACTAGAACTGATTTAAGCATTTCTTCTAAGCAACAGATCTAGAAACAGACTGAGAATTTAAAATTGCGTGAAACATGTTGATGTCCAAACTGTACATCAAAGTAACAAGTACTTAGGGGCTGAATGATCCCTAAGTCTGTCAGAGCTGACCCCTTTTGGCAGATGTAGCCAGTGTTCACTCATTTTGCTTCCTTAAGAGCAGTACAGCTATTTCCTCTAGCAGTTTAGGACGAGAAATGGCATAAAGCCCCAAGGATAATCAGCTTATAAAATCAAAGACTTCCTCTGCAACAGCTGAGATGCATTCAATAATTCATAGATAAACTATATCTATAACGTTGCCTTTAACATGCTTTGTCTTACACCCAGGAGAATTTAGGGGAAATGCACCACAAGAGACAAATCAGTCCGGTCCTAATTAACCCAAAATTATCCACTTCCCTTCCTTTTCCCTTTAGAAGTATCTCCCAGTGCAGTGTAAGAGCAGCAATTCTCACTCTAGGATGAGATCCAGAGGATGTCAAAGCTATTAGGAGCAAACTTGTAAAGATTTGCAAACCTTGACTTTGCCCAGCCTCCGCTCACCCTGGCCTTGACCTAGATTCATCGTCTCAAAAAATGTAGAGCATCCCTCAAGAGATGCTGAAGTTACTGAAACACACACACATACACACAAGCTATCACACAAGCTTTGCTTCCATAGGAAACCCAGCTAAAATAAAAGCTTCAGCACGCGATATCAGAAGCAACATAAGTGGCCTTGCAACTAGTTTTACACTCAGTTTAAGCTAGTATTAGATATTGTTAACATTTTTGTTGTTGTATCATTATTGTTGATATATTTGTTGACATTTGGAAACTTTTTGAAGTGATATACAAGCCACAATAAAAGCCATCACTGTTAAGATCCCCACATCTCAAAAATACTGCTGTGCCTAGTTCCCAAACTTCCCCGTATTTTTGAAGATCAGGGCTGAATAGCAGAAAACTGTGACATCATTTAGAGTAAACGACGGTCATCATTTTCACAATACATCTGCCATCATAATTTCTCAGTCACAGGGAGAAGGCGAGCAGGGGAGCAGAGGAATGCACAAAAATCCTTCAAAGTCCTTCTCAGACTCAGGAGGTTCACCTCTACCTCCCAGAGAGTCTCTCTTTATCAGGTCAGTGAATTTTTTTTAGCCACCTCATCCTTCTCATGGGCGATGTCATTTCCAGCACGTTTCTCTGCCAGGTCACACAATGTCCTTCTGAAGTCCTCCAGCATCCTCAGTTCCACCTAGCACTGGGCACTGCGCTCATTAGATTATATTTGAAAAAGGTTTTCAAATATTCAGCTTCAATATTTTCAAAAAGCAAACTCCCACCAGGATTAATAAAGAATGAATTTGTTGAAAGTGGTAATTCTTTATAAAGACAATATAACGGTTGGACTTGATGATCTTAAAGGTCCCCTCAGCGATTCTGTGATTCTATGATTCTATAATCTGCATAAACTGTAGTTTTGTCATAGGACTCCAAAAATTCATCCCTCCGAAGACCGAAGTCCCATCTCTAAATGCGTATCATCACAGGTCTCCACTCTGGCCAGTAGATGGAGATAGACACTAACGACTAGTAAATGCAATTCGTGTGTGTGTGTGTTTTATATATTGTATTGTAATATTATTAATCGTTATCAGAATTTATTTCATATAAAACTCTTGGTTGCATCCTGTTGGCCAGAAGCGTCCTGCCAATAAAAGATTTTCCCAGGTCTCCTGAAGGCATGACAGAATGTCAGCCGTGTTCCATAGGAAGTTTGTGAAATATTTTAAAGAATTAGTTCGTTTGTGTCTAAGGTGGTGATGCCTGACCGTTTGGTGAACTGGTATTAGACTGGAAAGTGGACATCTTCAGACCTGACCCTGAATGCAAGCTTTACTTTAAAATCAATGTCAACAGACCTTAAGGTCTTAATCACTAGCATGTCTGTGCGTAACGCTGGTCCCACGTGTTTTGGAGATGGTGAACCAGGGGTTTCTTTTGCACAAGTACTGATGTATTTATTCATATTTCAGTTCTACTTAAGCCTCTATTTAATTAATTACTGGTACCAAAAGCAACCCAGTTTCTAAGTTCAGAGGTGATCTAATCTGCTTTTTTTAATCAGTTTTGGTACAGTTCAAGAAACAGTAACAGTGGTAAAAAGGGACCTTCACTGAAAATTCTCATACATAAACAATGACGTTTGCTGCACATATTTACACTTCCACTCAACAGCTTGTCATCTCCATGTGTAACATGTACCACTCCTTTCAACCATACTGACAGCTGTGATCCAACACAATCGAAGGGAATCTACAATAATTATTTCATATACATGAGGTACACTAGGCTTTTAAGAAGAAAATTACATGAAGCCTGGACCGTTTCACAGATTAAAAATAAGACAATAGTTTTCTATAAAGTGGACACAAGAGGCAGACACAAGGGTCTGAAAACAATCAATAGTGAAGGTAGGACCTGTAAAATTTTATTTCTCATTTGATGCCAAATTAATTTAAGAATGTAACGAGTCAAAATCTGACCTAACTTTTTCTGGTATAAAATTAGAGAAATTCATTGATTTATGCACAGTTATTCTAAACAGACAGTAACGTAGCCAAGATCAGAAAACAGGCCAATAGAAGTAAAAAGATTTTTCTTTTCTACAGAACAGGTCATGCATCTGTGAACTAGCTGTCATATGCTATGATCCAGGCAAAGAGCTTAACAGGATTTAGAGAGGGATTAGTCATGCATATGAATAATAAAAAAAAAAATCTTTCCTATATATTAAGGATGATAAAAGTGCTGCTAAACCCTGTTATCCAGGGACGCAAGTTGTGGGACATCGCAGTCTATGCAAAACCTGCATAACTCCACATATGGTGGGGAGCACAATAAGAAGACACTCAATCTTCACAGTCATTCAGGTGTCTCTGCAGGCCCCGGACTCTACAGCATGGATTGCTGTAACTCTCATTATCCAACACTTGAGCTGTGCCCCAATTCAGAAACACAACTCTGAGGCACATGAGCTATTAACATAGAATCATAGAATGGTTTGGGTTGGAAAGGACCTTGAAGATCATCCAGTTCCACCCCCCTGCCATGGACAGGGACACCTCCCCCTCACAGTCAAGAATTTCTTCCAAATATCTAACCTACATCTCCCCTCTTCCAGTTTAAAACCATTCCCTCATTCTGTCACTGCCCTTCCCAATCAAGAATCCCTCCCCAGCCCTCCTGTAGCCCCTTTAGGCACTGGAAGGGGCTCTAAGGTCTCCCTGGAGCCTTCTCTTCTCCAGGCCGAACACCAGCAACTCTCCCAGCCTGTCCTCCCAGCAGAGGGGCTCCAGCCCTTGGATCATCTTTGGGGCCTCCTCTGGCCCCGCTCCAACAGCTCCGTGTCCTTCTGCTGTTGGGACCCCCCGAGCTGGAGGCAGCACTGCAGGGGGGTCTCCCCAGAGCAGAGCGCAGCAGAGGCCCGCTCCTTGTCCTTCCGCTGTTGGGACCCCCCGAGCTGGAGGCAGCACTGCAGGGGGGTCTCCCCAGAGCAGAGCGCAGCAGAGGGGCACAATCCCCCCTCGCCCTGCTGGCCACACTGCTGGGGATGCAGCCCGGGGTGCGGTTGACCTTCTGGGCTGCGATGGCACATTGCCGGCTTGTGTTGAGCTTCTCACCCACCAACACCCCCCGGTCC